GATTTTACTAAATTAGTCAATTATCTTTCTCGTAACATTTCCACAAAAATGAAATTCTGTTCTAATTTAATCTGTTGCATCCTGATGTTCATGCCAAATTCCTACTCACACGTTTTTTTAAAATTATCTTATTCAATCTTTTTCTTTTGTCCCCATTGGTTAAACCTCTTTGCATGTGATCGTATCTTTACTTTTCTAACACTATTTAGAGTTCAGACCCTGAGGAAGGTTCTTGCTTACAGACTTGAGTTATCCATTCTTGTACTTTCATTTGAGCTTCATTCACGTTGTTGTTTTGCTTTAGCCTCTAAGTTTAGTTGAGGTATCTCTTTACGGAGCAGCTAAAAGACTCGATTGCCAAAATCATGATATAGATCCAAAGAGATCTGAAAAATGTGTTTAAAGTCTTAAAGATAAATTTTTCTCCTTGATGTTCTTTCCTTGTTTAAAGCGATCATCGAATTAAAAGTGTACTGTTTCATATGGTTCGTCGAACTTAAAGTGTGTTCTGAAGTTCAAAGCGAGTTCTTTTTCAAGCCATTGTCTTGGTTTTGTAAATCAGGTCTTTTAGCTGTTCTGTGACAGTACAGATTGGCATCAAAAGCAAACTCGAGGGGTTCCATCATTAAAATAAAGGGGATATTTCCGCATCGTGATCTGTTGCGCCATCTACAACCGTCAAAGTGCCAGATTTTAAACTTAATTAAGAAAAAACAAAAAAAAAAACAAGTAGATATTTTTGCGGGGGTGGCTACGAGTTATACATTTCTAGTTGGTTCCATTCCGTAATGCTTTTTTTTTCAGTTTCTCGCGGGCCACTGCCCAAAAGTTTCCAAGACTTGGTGAATATTCTGCCACAGATCACGATACGGAAATTGCTCCAAAATAAAACAGAACTGATAGTATTTACATATTATCCCATCGACCATTTTCACCAACATTGTGACAGAGTCCTTTTGGTATGTTTAAAAATTAATTTTAATACAGTAATTGACCTTAAAAAAATTGACAAAATGCAATATAACTTATCGCAGAAAATGAGATACCTAAATTTGAACCGTTTCCAAATTTATTTTCAGAAACAGTGAAAATCGTAGATGAATAATACGTAAGTACCAAAATGACTTGTTCGAATATGATAGAGAAAAACTTCAATTTAGTGGATTTTGCATACCATGCAAAAAAGTTTTAAGCTATTGAAATATTTCAAATATAACAACATTTAATTACTTTACTTCTATTAAAATAAATGTAAATTCAGTATATTCTAATAAAGATTAATTGTGTCTTCTCAAACAGATAAAATTACGTCCTCAAAAATGATTTCATGAGAAGTAAGAACTGATTTCATGACAAGTTTATTGAAAAAACAAGTTATTTAACTTGCATTGAAATAATGAAAAAGTCCGCCACGAAAAAACCTTCTCCCAATACTTGATTCAGGATTTCTCTTGTCTTCTGGATTCGGTTCAAAATTACAAGGCTACGGAGTTGAACATTAGCAGTCATAAACTCAAAATTAGGTTGGTTGCTCAATGATGGTTATAAAACGAAGTATTAATTATCCAATTGTTGTCATACAGCACTTATCATAATTATTTAAAAAAAAATAATTATGATAAGTGCTGTATGACAACTATTGGATAATTAATACTTCGTTTTATNATATATATATCGGATCAAGAAAATGATTTGAAAAATTATAATTTTTCTTTTTTGTGTTAAACTCGATTAGACAGTTAATAACTTTTACTGAATTGATTACTTAGCTTCACTTTAGGTTGGTAAAAATGATGTGTCCGGTAGCGTTTAATAAGAAGCATTTAATCACGATGTGTAAAACCCACACTGAGCATATAGGGAAAAAACAATATTAATGGGCCGTTTTCATTGATGTGTAAAACCCACACCGAGCAGGTAGGAAAAAAAAACGATATTAATGGGCCGTTTTCATAATCGGGTGCAATTTGATATTCGCCTGAAACATATTTTTTTTGTTGAAGATATTAGAGACTTTATCCAAAAACTAGGTAATTATAAGACATTATTGAAGAAATTATAATTTGAAAAGGAAAGGAAAATATCCGTGACATGTCGGTAACGTAAAACTTAAGATGTTTATTCAGAATATTACGTGCCTGAAACGAAGGAAAAAAATCAATTTCCGAATTGTTGTAATTAAATAAATATAACTCTAAAAAGTAAAATTTTACGGTAAAATGGACTTGACGGAGGTTACAGTCAAAATACCAGAACATATATATATATATATTTGCATCCTGATGTTCA